GGATGGAGCTGATTTTATCGGGACAAACTGTTTCTGATATTAGCGGGGAAACTCCAGTCAAAGTTCTGTTTCCAGTCTCCTGTTTGTGTTGGCCTCCATGTTGGTGTCCAGTTACATCACAGTCTGACATGAGGGGCAACTGACCACAGACACAGCAGCTCTGGGTTCGGAGGGACAGAAAACAAATAATAGAGAGCAGACTGCTGCCTGCACATTGTGCGGAAACGATGCATCATTGTTGTCTGAATTTAATTACTGCTGTTTGTTTTTGTCCCGCTCTCAAGGTTTTGTTTAACAGTGAATGTTGTCATCAGCCCTGCTCAAGATGGCTACCACAGCTGATTGTATTTAACACTAAAATAGCTCTAGCTCAGTTTATTTGCCAGATGTAGAGCTTGAATTTGGCATGGAAGTAGCTGAGAGTCATCCTGAAAATATACTCCAAGCTCTAACAGMTTGTGTGARAATCTTTGTAAAAAACACCGACATAAAAGTGACACTCACTCCTTCAACAAATGCTACTTTCATTGTTTATGAGTTTTTCACGAAAAAAAGGCAGTTTATTTAAAAATAAAAAGTATCTACAGTTAATGACTCAACTGATATTTTCTTAGGTCTTTGTGGATGGAACTACAACCACCGTGGTCCTGCAGGGCCTCGACCCAYTGACAAAGTACCTGGTCAACGTCTACTCAGTTGTCGGTGAGGAGAGCAGCGAGCCTCTGAAAGGRACCGAGACCACACGTGAGTTTGTTTTCTTCAACAACTTAAAACGTCTTCTACAATAAACTACATCATACCAGGTTAACCCCTTCAGAACATACAGTATATGCTCTTTAGAAAATATATTTAACAACATAAAGCAAAAATGGACCATTTTTTTCTGACTATGTAATAAAAACAACAGTCTAAATTTRGGTTATTGGCGATTTTATTTAAACTTTTTTTTATACAACGGCTACATGAACTTTATTTATGTCAGTATTAGAAGCATTTTTAGTTTTAATATGTTGGGCTTGGAAACACTTAAAAAAGTTCTTCTTTTTTATTTTTATAAAACATAWTGTTGCATGGATAAACCCAACTGGAAACTGAATTTTCGATTACCTTAATCAGGAACTGCTGATGTTTCCGAGATATTCTACAACTAGCTTTAAAAAAGTTATTCCAAACTCTGTGATTTAGAGTCAAATTCTGAAACTTCAGATTTACGGKGCTCGGGATGAGAAAGAGTTTCAGTTTTCGGAACGCTCATAAATCTCCTGTCATTATTTTTCTTGAACGTTTGTTCTGAGTCAGCCGGTGTCACTGGATCTCTCTGGCTCAGCTGCACAGGTTTCACACACAGCGACGGCGTTTCCTGTGTGGTCTCCTCTAATAAACCCTTTAAAAGGTTTTATGCTTTCATTGGCTTGGCTATAAAGGGAGCAGCAGCAATAAATCTYATTTAGATGGAAGTTCAGAAGGGATTTATTTAATTAGATTCAATTTCAAGAACAATTTTGATTAATCTTGCATTTTCTTGATTGCTTTTTTATTGGCACTGTAGAGATTTAAAAGTTTATATAAGACACATTAGAAACCACCCTTTTTTGCCAAATGAATAATAACTTTTTAAACTGCATGAGCAACATGCCAAAAAATGTGCATCCCTGCATGCTCAGGGTAATGCTAATCAAAATGTTTTTTTTTTCATTATTTTGTTCCAGTGCCTCTGAGTGCTGTGAGGAGGATGAATATTTACGATGAACAGATGACCACCATGCGAGTGAGGTGGGAAGCGGCACAGGGCGCCACGGGTTACATGCTGCTGTACAGCGCCATCAACGCCACCCAGCCCACCACGGAGCAGGAGGTGACACGAACACAACCGAAGAGCCGATAACTGTTTAACAGGAAAACAATCTGGAAAACRAATCTGGAGAAACAAACACGAAAATTGACATTTCGATGCAGCAAATACACATAAGCACGTCGCTAACCTCCTAAAAATGCAGACGTCACCTGACATTTAACAACTCTTTTTCTCACCATTCATCAAACTTTAAAAAAAAAAAAAAACAAAAACAAAAGGGGTGTTGTTGGTCATAAGGGGGTGTATGAACTATGAGCTCACTCTGCAAAGGGAACATCATGGTTTGTTCATGAAGTGTCAAACCCTGTGGGCGAAAAAAAAACATTCAGCAGATGTGCTTAAAGCTAATTATTTTTCTCATTGCTTTTAGAGGGACTTTTAYATTTTCAGAAATGTAAAAGTCAGTGCAAAAGTTGTGAAACCAGCTCTAAGAGCTACATTCTCTTCTACTCTTCTGTGGTTTTGATCAATAGTTTTTCAGACAATCTGAAGATCCATTTTAAAGTGTTTCTTTAGATTTTTGTACTACTTTGGAAGATAAAAAGCGCGAGACTCAGCGGGCTCTACGCTGCCTTTCTGACCCTTTTTCTCATTTGCTTCGATTGCGTCTCAGGTGAGAGTGGGAGGAGCTACAACTGACGTCCAGCTGCAGAAGYTGCTCCCCAACACAGCCTACTCACTTTCTCTCTTTGCCCTCTACGGCGAATCAGCCAGCGAGCCACTGACCAAGCAGGGAGTCACCTGTAAGTTCATTAATCACCCTTTTTATTACGCCGAGTCAGCAGCTTCTTATATATATATATATATATATATAAATCTATACTTGTGTCTTTTATTTAGTGCCCATGCCACCAGCGGGGGAGCTGAGGGTCCGCGATGTCACCCACAGCACCATGGTGCTCAACTGGGAYGCTGCCCCCGGTCCTGTTCGTAATTACATCATCACCTACCAACCCGAGGAGGGAGAGGCGAAAGAGGTGAGCTCGTCTCCTGTTGTGTTGAACTTTCCCAGCGTCACTAAATTTACAATAAACGTTCATGTGGCAGCCAGATGTTTGAGCTGTGAGGGCGTTTACCACATGGATGGAAAGGTTCCTGCTGTTCCCACATCTCTTTTTTTTGTCATTCCATTTTTTTTTATAAAAGCAAAATGATTTACAAATCCTACACTCTGTGTGCTTTACTTGTTGTCTGTAGGAATAATGTAGTTTGATAGGAACAAATTTATTTTGATGGTCCTGACGGATGCTTTATTGTTCTGGCTCAGACCACATAATGGATCCTGCAGCTGGTTGGTTCAGGAACGTTCAGTGAAAGAAGATGAAAACATCAAAACGTGATTTTGCAGGGGTTTACGCGTGTTTACCGTGGATTAATATTTTATAGTTGCGCGTCTCCATTTGGGAGTTCTCGGGCAGGAGCAGCAGAATCTGGAGTCTGGGTTTTAGCTACATCCTTCGTCATAAATCAGACRGAGGTGATCCTCAAAGCTCCCAGGGAGGAAGCACACATGTGAAAGTGAGTCAAGGGTTGAGGATGTTTGTGATAGAAGCCAGTGACAGCATGCCCCTCACAAAACTAACTGCAGGACGAATTATTCCCAGGTGACGCCTCTAAGCTTTTGTTTTTTTCCGGTCGTGAGGGACAAACAGTTCAAGCAACAATGCATCACAAAAGAAGCCCATTTTCTTTGAGTTTCCTTTTGAAATGGCATGTAAATAATGATTTATTTCTGGTATTTTACAGCTGGAAGTGGATGGAAGCGTAACTGAGAAACAACTGGACAACCTGATCTCACAAACTGAGTACGCTTTGGCTGTTACTCCAGTCTATGATGAGGGACCCGGACAGCCAATGTTGGGGACTGCAATCACCGGTACTAAAAAGAAAAATCTCATCCTGACACCGTGTGATAGAGCAGGAAACATTTACGTTCTGCTTTCTGCTCTGTAGATGTGGTTCCAGCGCCAAAGAACCTGCGGTTCTCAGAAATCACTCAGACCAGCTTCAGAGCCACCTGGGATCACGGGGCCCCTGATGTGGCTCTGTACCGCATTGGATGGACCAAGAAAGGAGAAAACAACTTACAGTTTGTAAGAGATAATCAGTTATGAAAGATAATTGCATTTTTTTAAACAAAATATGTTGGCATTCTTACAGAAATACCTAAAAACATTGGCTGTAGTCCTCATATATGTTTCCACTATTAGAGTATCTCTTCTCACAGATTATTTTCCCCATCAGGCCATCCTGAACCATGATGACACGAGCCACGTTTTGGAGGAATTGGACCCAGACACGCCTTACGACGTACATGTTACTGCAATCTACCCAGATGAGTCAGAGAGCGAGGATCTGATGGGCACAGAGAGGACATGTAAGACTCTCAATTTAGCTGCTGTTTTTATAAGAACTTCATGCAAAACTGCATTTTGTAAACTACCTTCCCGGAGCTTCCAGCTGGATCTCCATAAAAGGCTAGAGTCATAACTAAAATGTTGATGTTGGAAAATAAGTTGATTAAAAAGTTCTGTGAAGGATATGGCCATTATATGTTTTTATTTTTGCCTCTGTAGTGCCCAGGGATGCTGGTAGACCAAGTGAGCAAGGTTTGTGGTAAAACAAAATGATGCTTTTTATTATTTGTGACAAAAGCATGTAGTCATCAGAGCTGTTGTTTCTGGGACAACAGTGGTTTCATCATCAAGAGTCCTTTAACCCATCATCCACCGCT